CAAATGTAATGACGAGACCATCAGTTCAATGATCACTAAACTTCTCTCATGTCCCGCATCTCAAGCCACTACTAAATGATTTAATCCTTAATTATTTATTCATTTAATCATTTGTAAAATTAATTTTATTAAAATAAAACACAGGTTTAATTGAATTTTATTGTTGATTATTTAATTACAATAAATAAAATGTTAAACAACTAAATACCGGTAGTATTTATTTTATGTTTATCTTATTTTAACATTTATAACGTTATTAAACGTTTATAAGACTAATAGTTTTGGCCAATATTTAAGTATTTAACAATTCTAAACAATGCTTTTAACTATTGACAAAACAATTAACTACTTTGCATATACAGTATGTTAAAAAACTAGATTTCTATCGTGTAAAACTATATTACTGTAGAAAGTATATTGTCAATAATATATTGAAAAGTAACCATGCACTTGCACTAACACATTATTCTCTATAATGTGATATTTAACTTATAAAATGAATTAGTTTTTAAAATTATGAAAACATTTATGCAATAATTATTACTGTTTGAATAAAAAGTTTGTAAATTATATTAATTTTTAAAACTTTAATTGTTTGGTGTTTTTCATAATCTGAACAATCATTGAAACTTCCAATACTTTGAGTGTGACTATAAGTCGTTGCAATTATTTTCATCTTTTTGTGTATCAAAGTTGTGACAAATAATTCTTCCGTTTGTTTTCATCCGATTGAAAGCGTCTTCGCTGTCGTAGGAGAGAGTGATTCCAATGTCTCGCAGTCTGTCGTTGTATTGACTGTCAAAGAGTAGGCTCTGTTGTGGAGTGAATTGGTTCCTCCAGTCGCCGATTATGCCTTTCCTCATGAACTTTGATTTACTCATATCGAAGAGGTCTTTGATCGGAAGGTTCTCCCGATTCACCATATTATTGGTCTTCATCTCATCGAATGTGCAGTGCTTTGCAATTCTGTCGATCGTATCCTTTGTTAGTTTATATCCGGCAAAGTTTGCCATTATTTCAATCATTTTCGGTAAATCCTATGTTTTAACAACATTTCAAGTATAGTATAGTTTGCAAAAGTTTTGAATAAATATTCATTAAAGATAATAACCTAACAATTCCCTTATAAAATATTTGGTAAATTGTATTCAATAATAAAGTTGTGTATTTCATGAATATGCATGTATATAACACATGTCGTATATAATAATACATTGTAATAATTGGTATAAAATGGTAATATTTGGTACAGAATTGGCAAAATGTCTTACAGTTTTCATTTCTTCGTATGAAACAAATAGAACTCTATTTGGATAGAGTTGTAGTAAATGCCAGTAGCCTTTCATGTGTTCAAACCAGTCTCCGTGCACTAAATGCCCTTTTAGGAAAAGGTCCACAAAGTTATCCCACGAACCCTTATAGTTGCCTAAGAATGTGCTCATCCTGTGGTGATGGAAGTACGACACGGCGTTGTCTTTCGGATTACGGATCACATAAATTATCTGCAAATTAATTGTTGCCATTATTTAGTAGTTAAGGTACTATTCTTTCAACTTTTATAACTAATTTCTAGTTTACAGTAAAACAAAATGATTGAATAGAAATTGTATGAATATAATGAGCAAACCTTGCATTTGCTGTGCTTAAGTTGTGTTGGGATATGTGTCGCCGGCAAATGTGTGGCCAGAAGTCGAGGAGTTTTCAATTTCTTAAGCCAACGCGAATGACCGACAGGTCGTCCGACTTCAAAGTGCACAACACGTCGAGCGAGTAATACATCTTTTACTCTATCAATATCTCCGTTATTATAAATAAGAGAGAGAATCTCTTCAGTCCAAGTGGTGCCTGACTTTGGATATGTAGCCAACCATAAGTCGTCGGCTCTGACCTCAAAGTTCTCAATCTTCTTAAGAAATTTCGGGTAAACGAGATATCCCTGGAGTAGAAGATCCTTATAGAGTAAGGCTTTGGGAATCGAGCGAACATATTGTGAGCGTTGGGGGTCTGAGTCCAGGTTTGGCTCGTTTTCAGCTCTAATTATTAAACTGTTTTTTGATATCTTGTCATTCATTAACAACTTTCCCAAAGGATTTGAATACAAGAACTTTAAGGATAGCATTTCTCTTTTCTTCATTTTACAGATGTTTTTAGAAAAATACATAAAAATTATAAATTCGTTAAACTATAATAGTATTTGTGATAATAAAAGTTATAACTTGTAAGCAAAATAAATAAAAACTAATATTTTCTTCATTCATGAAAATGTCACTTTTAGTGTTCAGACAAATATACAGTAATTGAGTGGAGAGTTAGCACATTAACCAGAAAATTGTGTAATGAATTGCATTTTTGGTGTCATAATTCAAACCAATGATTTTCTTAAATTCATTAACGAAAGCAAAAACTCAATGAAATAATACA